AACTTCTGTAGGTGGCAGCGTGGGGAGGGAAAAATTCCAATTTAACTACCGACATAGATGCAGCTTTTTATATAGGACTATAACAAGAACACAAACAACTGGTATCCAGTTGAGTGAAATCACCGATTGCAAAGAGTTGCATCGTAGATGAGTTGCACTGACTGATCCAGATTGATTGCAATGTCCTCATGATCTGTCTGCATTTATAAATTTGGCCACAAATGTCTGCAAACATTCACCAGCCCATATGGGCTGATTCGGATCACAGTTATTTGGAGACAGGTTGACTCCCACCATGTGACCTGTGCAATGACTTGGAATCAAAAGTGGTTGTTCTGAGATAGCTGGCCACTGCAAGTACAAGCAATTGTTGTTAAAAGTGCAAAAAGTTATCAAAATCCTTGTAACCCCACCATATTTGCAGAGAGGTTACTATCCTATTTTTATCCTGTTGTGTCTGAGCTATTAGATTACCTTACCACACCTGGTTATATAATTCATTTGTTATGTTAATGAATGTTGATTTATAGTCACAAGGTTGATAACAATTATTGCTCTATAGAGAGTTACAGATCTTGAGTGCTGTCCTATTTACAGGTGAATTTTAGGATACTGTACTGTTGCACTTTTACCTACTTTTACCTACTCTAATCTGTGCAGTGGTGCTGTTTAATGTTCAAAGGTACATCTTCCCGGCCCACCAGCACTGACGACCTGAAGAAGCTCAAGTACCTGGAGTGTGTGATCAAGGAAGCTCTGAGGCTGTTTCCCTCTGTGCCTTTCTTTGCTCGTAGCCTCGGTGAAGACTGCTATATCAGTGAGTTAAAGATTAGATTGTTGGCACCTGAAACAAATGGCTCATTGATCCCAAACACCCGACGGTGCTGATACCTCTTCACAAAAAGGGAAGCCAGTCTTCATCTGTTGTCGTGGCCATGTAACAGATGCATCTGAGTAATCGGTTTTGCCTGTTTTTGGTGTCATGAGTACTTATCTCAGCTGGAGTTTTTTTTCTCGCACTTTTAGACGGTTTCAAGGTTCCTAAAGGTGCAAACGCGATCATAATCACCTACTCTCTTCACCGCGATCCACGGTACTTCCCCGAGCCCGAAGAGTTCAGGCCTGAGCGTTTTCTGCCGGAGAATTCGGTGGGAAGGCCTGCCTATGCATACGTCCCCTTCTCAGCTGGACTCCGCAACTGTATAGGTAAGGACTTTTAAATTTATAGTCTCCATACGCGCTTCGCTGCGTGAGGTTTCCAAATAGGTGCGTCACGTCTTCGTTTGTTTTACTGTCATTTTCTTTAGGCCAGCGTTTTGCACTCATGGAAGAAAAAGTGGTGCTGGCGACTATTTTGCGGAACTTCACAGTTGAAGCCTGTCAGAAACGCGAAGACCTCCGCCCGGTTGGAGAGCTCATCCTACGACCAGAGAAGGGCATCGTGATCAAATTAGAAAAGAAGACGCTTCAAACGTCATCAAACTAACACCTGATGCAGCATCCTGGGGAATTTCTCTGCATGGTTTTTATCTAATGACACATAACAAAGTGACATTTTTAAAAAATATTTTAGTAATTTTAGGAAATTCCTATTTTCATAATGATAAATATTCATAAATACAGATGACAAAGGAATCCTGAAATGCTGTTTGCTGTGTTGTGTGTAGACACAGCACTGGTCCATCTTTGAGCTGAATGATTCACAGGTCAGTGTGAGGAGGCTTAAAAAATCCTTGAAAGCAAAATATAAAGAAAGAGTTTTCCAAACTACTATTTCTATAAGATTTAAAGTATAGATTTACACCATATTGTGAGTTACATTAATAAAAATGAACCGACAATTTCAAAACGACTGATTAATTGTGGAAAATGAGATAAACAGCTACTTAACTGGAGTCAGTCACAGATAATTATTTTCTAGGTTACACCCATTTTACGAAAAAAAAAGAAAGCATTCATCTTGATTCCCAGCTGGGATAGGCTCCAGCCGCCCTGCACCCTGAATTGGATAAGTGTACGAGAATGGACAGTGTCACAGTCTGGCGGTGGCAGACTGTATTAATTGTGAAGAGTGGACCCAAAACGCAGACCCCAAGGAACCAGGAACAAAACTTGAATGTTAACAAAAAGAGAGCCATTTAATATGGCTGGTAAAAAAGGTACAAACAAAGGGCAAGGCAAAGTGAAGTAAAACTAACATTAACCTAAACTGGGAGAACTAAACAAACAACAAGAAAAACCTAGACATGAAACTTGGAAGCATGGCATGGGAAACATGGCGTGGACAACAGATGACCTGACAATGACACACTGAAAACAGAGGACTTAAATACACAGGAGGTGATTAGGGGAAGTGGGAACACATGGAGGAACAGCTGACTGACATGAGCCTAATGACAGGACAAGGGAAGTGAAACTAAATACAATGAACAAAGAACACACGACTCCTTCAAAATAAAACAGGAAACATGAGACAGACATGGTAATATAAACTTGATAACATAAGACACGCAGCATGAAACACATAAAGGGCAAAGGGAGACTAAAACACAGGGGTAGAAGACACAAGGGGAATCTAAATAAACAAATGAGCTTAGATAACCTAATGAACTAAAAAATAAACCATAAACATCAAAATAAACTAAAACTCAAAACGCTGGGTCAACAGACCCAGGAACGTGACAGACGGATGGATGATTCACATCCACTATGCACTCTGCAAGAGTTTATACCCATGTATGACACATTTCTGTTATTTCGTATGTGGCTGTGTAACGCAGATAAATAGTATGGAGGATTAAAAATGGAACTTATGTACATGCACACACATATATGTATATATATTTTGTTGTATCAGCTTGTCTGTGAAGGTTCTCAGTCATCCAGGTCATCGTAGTCAAAGGAGCTTGCAAAGAAAAGCGTCTGGACTTCTTTAAGTTACTTGAAAGAAGCATCTATGTCCACTTTGAGCGACCATCTTTGAACAGAGGCG